TACTTTTAAAGAAAAATGATTAAAATTTTTTATTATAGGAATTCCTTTATTTATATGCAATGTTGATGTCTTAGGAGGGTATACTTAGAGCATGGGTTTCTAATCTTTTGGCTTGCCTGGGCCATACTGAGTGAAAATGAATTGTCTTGGGCCACATATAAAATGCATAATATGGTAATTAATATATATATATATATGTAACAAAACTTTTCACATTTTTTGTTATAGCATTTCTATTCGCAATGTTTTATATAGTGATACAAGCAAAAGAAACTACTGTTTTGTACTATATCACAGCTGCTAAAAAACAATTTTAATGTGTGTGTATATATGTTTATATTTTAGTACATATTTGCAGTACATAATGATTACATTCATTACAGGGAGTTAACTACATGTACATAACACATCTTAATTTTTTTTCATCTTTTCTCTTCTCCCTGCTCTTTTTTTTTTTTTTTTTTTTTTATTGTGCTTGCAAAAGATACGCTGGAACCACTGAGCCAAATCCCCAGCCCCTCTCCTATTAACTTAATATTTTACAAAGTAACACATGCCCAAGTTTAATAAATAAGAAAACTTCCATGTCTGCTTAATAATAGTAATCACCTGTCTTCACAATAAGCATATACACTTGTAGATAGATTGAAATACTGTGACCAGTACATTGCTATATTATACTTGCCAGATTGCAGAAGCCCATCTAACATGTGATACACTCAGGTTTCAGTTCAACTAACTGTGTGGCAGGTGCAGAAGACAGAGGGAGGACTGCACATGTTCAGTAATTGCCTGTGCATTCCACACTTGACAGCACACAGTTGAATCATGAAAAATATTGCTGAAAATGTCACATAATAAAGTTACAATCTTTTGGGTCCACATTATTAGCCTTGCCAGGCTGCTTGTACTTTATAGGTTAGACACACCTGTAGAATATTGAGTACCTTGAAATTGTTTAGTGCTTATGAGATTCTAGTTTACATAGGCTTTGGATCCTTGATTCTGAGATATTTCCTTAGAATTCTTTTGTATGTATCATATTAGCAAATCTGCTTTTCTGGAAAGATTTATGTAATTGTGTGTGTTTTTTATAATATGTTAATAATACTCTAGAAGTTTGTGAATTCTTGATTCGATGGACCTGTTTTAATTTTTAAAATAGTATCGCCAGGCATATACAGGAAACAATTCTTCACAAATTCAAGCAGCAATGAAAGGTTTTGAAGAGGTCATAAAGAAATTTCCAAGATGTGCTGAAGGCTATGCTCTATATGCCCAGGTAAATGTGACTTGAAATTGTTTTAAGAACTGTATTGTATTCTGAAGCTCAGCATGGAAATCAGACAACAGGGCTATCCTAGTTCAGCTAATGTGGAAGCAGGAGGCTTTCTTTTTGCTTTACTTCTCTTGGCCCCTAGGATGGTACTGAATCACATTAGAGAACCTCCCGTGTTATACAACTTAGAAACCATGGCCTTTAACTCCTAATGAAGAAAGCTTAAGGCAAGCATTTCCTTCCTGTTTTCACTTGGATTTGAATTGCAAAAAGTGTAATTACATAAACCCAGCTATCTCAATATTTCCTAATTGTTCCTTTTATTACAAAAGAAATGTTGGTGCTTTTTTCCACAAATGTAACAGGAATGGAAAACATTATACAATTTCCCCAGTAGACTCCTCTTAAACCATTCTTAAATTTGCTTATTTTTTTTAATGTATTGCCTGCTATATTTAAGCAAGTTACAAGAAAAATTTAAGGAGGATGTTGAGGGTTTATTGAGGGAAACAGATTAATTTATGTTGCATCTGTTCATCATCATGGAATTCAGAAGGGATTTTTTGGTGCAAATTTCTATGAGGATATAACATAGCAAAGTCCACTGAATAGTTTTTAAAGAAAGAAATACTACAAACAACTTTTCTGCAGAATGTTCTTTAATTGCAAATTTTCCTTTCACTCTTCTGCCTTTGAAATGTGTTTGACTTTTGTGAGCATCTTATTTCATTAGTACAGCTGTTTGTACTAAAACTTCTAATCTTGCTTTTCTGCATATAACAAAACTTTATATATTTACATATATATGTTTAAATACTATTTTCCTATAGCTTCCAAATATATAGTTACTTTATAATTATATATGACTTCTTTTAATCCTCAAAGCTTGGGCCTAGATGCTAGCAACTCTTAGTTACAGTCTGAGTGTGATCTGGCATCCATAGAACCAGGCCTTCTATTTTGGCCATGAAAAAAAGCTACAGTCATAGCTGCTTTTTTTAAAGGAATGATTTCAGTAACAGTTAACATGTACATCTTAAGTTACCCTTCCAAACGAATATTGCCCTTAAAGAAATTCCCTTAAGATACATAAATTATGAGTAACATGAGTGTACTCGTGAGAATGTGATACTTAAGTAGGATTTTCTGTCACCAAATAAGATTTTCTGTATTCTGCAGTTTACCATATTATCCGATTCCATGTAACTGCTTGCAGAAAAAAGGGTTTTATATTTGTAAAAAAGTGCCTTAATAGATCCCAATAAAAATCGGTTTAAATAATAATTATTTTAAACCTCATAATTTGGTAGCAAATGAAGTAAATTTTAATAATTAAAAGCAGTATATTTTTAATTGTTAGGTTGATAGTTACCTTAATTATCTCTTCACAGGCATTAACAGATCAGCAACAATTTGGTAAAGCTGATGAAATGTATGATAAATGTATTGATTTAGAGCCAGATAATGCCACAACATACGTTCATAAAGGGTATGTATTTTTGTGAGTCTACTAATTTCCCTTCATGGCAATAAAATGGATTTCTTTTGACCTTTGAGGACCCAGGATTGTGGTAGAGAAATATTACTAACTTAATGGCCAGTTTCTTTAATGCTCATAGATGTTATTTCAATAGTGTATAAAAATTAGATACTCAATTTTGCTCTAGATTAAGGGTTTTCCATTCTCAACATCCAGTCAATTGTTACTTGTATCAAAATTGAAAATGTACATGTTTTTTCCTGTCCTTCTTTACTGCAATATAAGAATCTCACTTAAATTTATGGAAAGTAAAATATAAGGGATGCAAGATACGTGAAGAGAAGAACCTAGCCAGTGTTGGTGAGACTGTGGCATGTGTGCAGGCATGCAGGGCCCTCTAGGCTGGCGTGTGAGCCAAGTCACCCCAGCATTGCCCCAGCCGCCAAGCATCAGATAACAGCAAACATGAGGGACAGTGTTGGCACTTTGTGATAAATAAGTGGGTTTTGGGTTGCAATTTAGGCATTCTGTCTCTAAAGGTTCACCATCACTGACCTAGACCATATGTACCATTTTTATGCTACCACAGGCTCCTTCCCCAGCTCAGATGCTTTTCATAATAAGTCTACTGAGGGTACAAAGTGAAATCATAGATATTTACATTCCTATTGATACTGGACCATGAGCACATCTGACTACCTCTTTGCATTTGCAGTTTACTTCAGCTTCAGTGGAAGCAAGATTTGGATAAAGGTTTGGAGCTTATCAGCAAAGCTATTGAAATTGATAATAAATGTGATTTTGCATATGAAACCATGGGAACTATTGAAGTGCAAAGGTAAATTCTAGAGTCTGTCCCTAGGACATTTCATGGCAGCTTCATCTGTGTCTTTTATTCTTATTACATACATGTTATTGTCAATATCCATTAAATTTTTAAAGTTTGTTATGCCTCTGGGTAGGAATTTCTTTAAAGTCTGGATCTGACTACAAAGAAGCAGCCAGCCAAGTGACTGGGAAAGTTGCAACATCTTCTCTAAGCCTCTTGAGTTTTCTTTAAAATATTGTTAAGGCCAGATGCGGAGGCACATACCTATAAACTCAGCACTTGGGAGACTAAGGCAGGAGGATCACTGCAAGTTCGAGACTAGCCTAGGATACATAATGAGTTCAAGACCAACCTAAACTACATGGCAAGACCCTGTCTCAAAAAATAAACAAATAGCCGGGCGTGGTGGCACACACTTGTAATCCCAAGTGTAATCCCTCAGGAGGCTGAGGCAGGAGGATCACTGAGTTTGAGACCAGCCTGGGCTACACAGTGACTTTCAGGTCAATCTCAACTACATAGTGAGACCCTGTCTCAAAAAACCAAAATAAGTAAATACAATTGGGTTTGACTTAAGTACTGAAGTTTAGGTGCCATCCACATATTCAGTTGTCTATATCCTCATCTTTGTAAAAGTGGGGATTATGATCCCTAGTTTAATTGAAGAATGCAGCAGCTAATGCACAGATTGACTAGATTAACAGCAGAGCCAGGAGTGATGGCACAGACCAGTAATCCCAGCACTCAAGGTTGAAGCAGGAGCATCACTTCAAAGCTGTCTTGAACTATAGTGAGACCCTGTCTCAAAAAAGCCAAAAATAAATACATAAATGGACAGTAAGTCAGCAGTCAAGACAAAATTTGATTTCATATTTCACTGATGCCAGAATCTCTGTTGATCTTGCCATCATCCCTTGTCAGGAACCAGCATGAATTATTTTTATTTTCTATCATTCTGTCTTTTCTGTGTCCCTCTCTCTAGAGTAGGCAGAAAAGATAGATGGATGAATGGATGGATGGAAGAAAGATTGTGGGATTCTTATAAACCATTCTATACTGACAGTTGCATGTAAAAATCAAATTATTCCTTAATTACTTACTTGCTAATATGTGGAAATAGAATAAGATAGGGCATTGTTTCCAAATCTTTCTTGAGCACAGCTGTGATTTCCTAGAATAGTATACATATAACAACAATTTGTATTTAATTTAAGGTATTCATAGATCCTGGGTTAAGCACCCCTGATTTAAGGGGTGTGATAGAATTTTGTATGTTGATTGTACTTTAAGAAGTCTGTTGTAAATGCCTGGCATGGTGGCACACACCTGTAATCCTAGCAGTTGGAAGGATGAAGTAGAAGGTTTGCTACAAGTTCAAGTCTAGCCTGGATTACATAGTGAGTTCAAGACCAGCCTGCACTACATAGCAAGACCTTGTTTCAAAAAACTAAAGAAATCTGTTGTAAGTCTTACCTTACAATTAAATAAATGTGAATGAGTAAATGAGAAAGTAGTTAGTAGATCTGTTAGTTGTTTATCTAATATCTGAATATGAACTCATGACAAAGTATTTTTTTAATGAGTCTGTCGCCATATATTATAGAAAGTGGTTAAATATAGTCATCTAGAGGTGCCTCTTCCTAGAGTGTGACATTTATAAAGGAAGGATTTGAGAGTGCATAAATATATGCATATATAATAGCTAAAACTAGTTGCCTAAAGCAGGTGATTCTCAGTAACTGTATAAAGCCTAGACATACTTAGAGTATAAGAGGTATTTTTTATCTTACTGGTCAAGCATATTCATCTGTTTATTCAAAAACAGTAATAACCAGTCATCATACTAGGTCCTGGAAATTGACAGATGTCCATCAAGAAGCTAGTAAGATTCTGGTATAAAAAACACATATGCACCTGACCAGACATAGAATAACAGTAGAACTACAAGACGACTCCCAAGAAGGAAAGTGAAAAATATTTTTCAGGACAATATAGTATTTGAACTGGACCATAGAAAGGGAAGGATTTGGCCCAGCGATGTGGTAGAATGCTTGCCCATCATGTAAAAGGCCCTGGGTTCATTCCCAAGAATTGCAAAAAAAAAAAAAAGAAATCCCTGAAAACCATTAGTGTTCTCTAAGACTCATGTTTAGAGGGAATAGTGTAAGTGCATAGAGGTTGTAAGAGTAGTTAACATTCATTGAGTGCTTTCAGTGTGCTAAGCACTCATTTATTACAACAGAAGCATTTTATTAGAATCGTAGTTGAAATTTAGTGGTCAGACTTCATGTCACTGTACTTACAAACTTTACTGGATACTTGTGAATCGCTTACTTAATTTGAGAATTTTTGAAATTTTGTTCTTTTAGAGGAAACATGGAGAAAGCCATTGACATGTTCAACAAAGCCATTAACCTGGCCAAATCAGAAATGGAGATGGCGCACCTGTATTCCCTGTGCGATGCTGCCCATGCCCAGACAGAAGTTGCAAAGAAATATGGATTAAAACCACCAACATTATAAACAAGAGGAAGGAGACTGACCAGCCCTCTTTTTAAAAGAAGTTGACCCCTTCTTCAACTGAACCATAAACACACAGTCATGAACATGTTGAATGGTGGAATTTAGTATTCCCTTTGTGGTGTTGTCAGTCATTACATCTGTTTCCTGTTTAAGTGTTGTGGGCGTGGCTGTTGAAGGAAGTTTGCTGTCTTGCAGCTTTTACTCCCTGTGCAACAAGAGCTTAGAACTTGTTAAAGGGATATTAAAATACAGTTGCAGAATACAAAAGCTAATTGGCCATGCAAATAAAAACTTTGATTTATTGATTTTGTTTTTGTTGGTTTTATTTAATTAATGGGGGTAGGAGGTTGTTATATTCTGGACGATTTTGTCTTTATATATGTGTATAATATGTGAGTGTTTTACAGTATATTGTTTGTTTTTTTCTTCATTGAGTTTATTGGTACATTTTAGGTATACAGTACAGTGACAGTCATCATTGGGATCTTGTACCTTTACATTACAGATCTTTGTTCTCTTTTTTTTCCCCCTTGTCAGTATGTTGGTTTTTAAGTTAACAATGCTGTAAAATAATTTATATTCAAATCCTTTTTAGTTGATTTTTTTTTAAGGATGCAAAGCTTAAATGTGGATTACAGTAAAATTGGGAAACCCTTTAAATCATTGTTAGCATGGAAAATGGCTTTGATTCTGCAGAACTTTAGAAAGTGAAAGTCCACAGCAGTTGGTTTCCATTTAGAAACAAAATATCCTAATTGATATATATATATTAGAAGACCGTTAATGAGGAATTGATCAGAAAAAGAGGTAAGATGAAAGTGAAGTGAAGTGAAGTGTGTTTATAATTAGCTATAGCCATTTTGTGTAAAAAGTACTACTACTTAATGTACTTTTAAAAGAAAGTATGGGTTGTTTATGTGTATAATCCAAACAGAGATGGAGTAAGATATATGGGAGTGTTTAATTCTTAAATTTTCTAATGAAGAACGGGGTGGCTAACGCTTAGAAAAGAATATTAAATCTTGTACCCAAAGCAGAGTATTTTTTTGAAAATGACAAATTCAGTGCTTTAGGCTACCTATACTTAAAGAATTTTGAGCCAGTATTTTTAAAGATCCCAAGTGTATGTAAAGTGTTTTTTTGTATTGACCTCTAAGGACTAGTGGCCCATGTGCAGGTCTTCACTATGGATAACGACAGCTTTGGGAAGCACTTTAAGGTGTATTTCTAGTTATCCCTTTTATAGACCACCCTTTTGCTTATATTCTGGATTTTTCTGGTGAAAAAATGGCTGTTTTTCATAAAGGATCTCTTATTTTGAGATATCTAGGACAGGTAGAGATTTACTTTAAGTCTGAATATAAGAAAAGAGCAAGCATACTTGTCAAGAAATTGAGTCTAATTATAGTTTAAATTGTTGAAAATAACGGAGCATTTTACCCTCCTTAAAAGGGTACTTTATCTTGTTAAAACCAAAAAGATTTTGTTTATAGATGCTATCATTTTAGAAAATTAGAAATTATTCCCCTTCCAAAATCAGGCTTTAAAAAGATTGAAGAGGCCTCTGACTGATTTTAATAGGCGCAAGTGACATAATTAAAGATGATTGGGACAGTGGGAAGTTGGAGAGCTCTGTATTTTGTTTCTAAATTATGACAATCCCCAAATATAGAAATGTTTTACATCTCTAACCTCTGGCTTTAAAAGAAAAGTTTTTATTTGCATGGCTATAATTACTCATACTGACATGTTCTTCTGTTCTTCTTTTTTCCCTTTGGTGTTGGGTAGAAAAAAAAACTGAAGCATGTGCCATTCTTTACTGTCATTCCAAATTCTCGAAGACCTTTGCCTGTTGTGAAAATATTTGAAACTGCACTGAAAGCTGCATCTATCTGTATCTTTTCTTTTGTAAATGACCTCAAATGTAAATTCACCAAATAAATATTACCTTCAAGCTTTCTATCTATTCTTTGAACAGAAAGATAGGTAGTTTATTTATTTACTATAGTATTGGTTAAATTCAGTCATTCTCTTGTGGCCTCAAACTAACTTTGAAAATAGGCACATACAAGTTTATTGTTATGAACGGTGGAATTTCCTGAGAAAGCCAGAGAGCCGCCTGACTTTATTCCTTACCTGTTTCTGCGCTGTACTTGCAAAGCAGTTTGGAAGGTTGCCAATCAGATCTGGATCTTATGCTAAGTTTTCCTGGTCCCCTTGGTGAGTTTGATCATAGTTCTCAATCACCTGGAGTCTTTGAAAAACATGCTTCAAATAATTTCTACTGACCGTGATAATGTAATATAAATAGGGACAATATCCTAAAAGAATAGTAAGCTTTGGTTTTAAAATACAATTTAAGCAGCACTTCCTGCCCTCTGCAAACAAATTGAAGTTTAAATTATAGTTTAGATAGTACTTTGTACCTGTAGAAGTTGACAAATTGTAATCTTAATGTTATTTATAATCAAGAAAACCATGTAATTTAAACCAGGAAATAGTATAAAAGTAATAATTAACTAAGCCCTAGGTGGAGTGGTGCACACCTATAATCCCTTCTACTCAGGAGGCCAAAGCAGAAATAGCACAAATTTACACCTAGCTTGGACAGCAAATCAAAAAAGTCTTTCCTGGTAAATGGGTTTTATGGTTTGTGTATTCTTTTTTGTTGTTTGACACAGGGTCTCATTATGTACTTGGGGCTGATGTTAAGTCAAATGACATAACCTGAGCTTATCTCAAACTCAGTGGTCCTGCTACCTCAGCATCCCCAGTGCTGGGATTATAGATACACACCATCATTCCTGGCTCTGGTCTTTGTATTCATAAGAAAATAATCTAGGAGTGATTGGGAAGAAGAGTGGGTTACAGTTCTACTCCTAGTTCTCTGCTAACCTGATTTAATAAAATTATAGTTTTAATTTAGTATGTTTGCAACCTTTAACATACTGTAATTGGGTGAATACTCCCCTAAAAGATAACTACACCCTTATCCTAGAATGTTAACTTACATGGCAAAAAGTGGACTTATTTCTTAACAATAGCAAGAGAAATTAATACTTTGGCTATTTTATATAAGATTTATAGTCTAAAGAAATTCTTCCGGGGGGGGGGTCAGGAATTTAGCTCAGTGGTGCCACTGCCTGCCTCGCAGGCAGAAGGTTCTGAGTTTGATCCCCAGTACCAAAAAAAGAAAAATTATGCACTTGCCTGTAATCCCAGCACTTAGGCTGAGGCAGGAGGATCTCTGTGAATAGGAAGCCAGCGTGGGTTACATAATTCAAGACTATCCTGAACTATATATTATAACAAGACCCTGTCTCAGAAAAAAAGGAATTTGAGTATCCCAAGGTAGAATTCATATGTATATAAGTGGGTAGGCCAAGAGCCAACCTGAGTGCTTTCAGAGTACAGCAGCATCGGGCTGGATTTCTCCAATTCTTTTTTGTGTGTTTTATTTTTGGTGCTGAGAATTAAAACCAGGCCCTTTGCATTGAGCTACATTCCCAGCCCTTTTTAGTTTTGAGACGGGGTCTTGCTAAGTCATTAAACTGCCCAGACTAGTCTCAAATTTGCAATCTTCTTGCCTCAGCCTCCCAAAGAGCTGGCATTACAGGCATAGGTTACTGTGCTTGGCTTCTCCAGTTCTTTTATTTGTAAATAGGACTGCAAGTGTTTCCTAGAAGCTGCGGGAAGGTTTACCTAGAGCACTGATGGCAAACCTATGGCAAATGTTGCTGTGGTTTTTTTTGAAGATAAAAGTTATTAATGTAAGGGTGTTTTTTTTCTAAACTAAAACTTCTGCATTCAGGTTTCATTGCACTGTTGGCACTCTGTGTTAACTAAGTGGGTTTGGGCTTGCAGTCTGACACTCATTCTCTAAAAGGTTCACCATCAAAAAATGTTTCATGTCTCCCAAAGCTGTTCATTACACACATATCCTCAGGATTATCTCAAACTATCAGTGCTTCTGCTCACAAGATGAACAAAAAAACATGGAACATTGACACCCCCAGTCTCTACATGTTCTTATCTTTTACTCATCTCAAGCTTCATCTTTCACCAGTTTAAAGGATTACAATATCCAACTTGAATAACAGCATGGTGCAGGGAAAAGTATTACTGGCCTGAGCATCAGGTAGCCTTAGTTCTAACTAAACACTCCCATGTGTACAATTCTGAGTAAATGAAGGTGTCATCTAGTTGTAGGTATGTAAAATTACATTATACTCAGGATCTTCCTAGATTAGATTCCCATAGGGTACAAGTCTTCCTAGAATTATTTAACCAGAAAACTTGCAGGTGAACAAGTATAACTTGTAGAAATAGATACCTCCAACTCAGCATTTATTAAACTCATCAAAGAGGACTGGCCATAAAAAGATGAACATGAAATTCTCAGATGTAGCCTGGCTGGCGGACAGATGCCTATAAATCCAGCATTCAGTTGGTTGAGGCAACAGAATTATGAGTTTGAGGCCAGCCTGAGCTGTAACCCAGACCCTGTCTCAAAAAAAGATGAAATAAAGGAGCTCAGAACTTCATGACAGGTTTGGTGCCATAGGCAAGGCTACGTACAATATTACATGTAAACACAATAGTAATAAATTCTGCTACTTTTTAAGGCATAAATTTAAAAGCTTAAGTGAAGACCTTTCTAAAAGGGGACACAACCATAGCAAAAAATTAAGTGAAGGGACGTTATGAGTATGGGTGAAAATGATGCATCTGAGTTGAGTCCAGCAAAATCAAATTTTTAAACGAGTAAGAAGAACCAATAGTGGAGCTATGTGTGTGAAAATTATGGGCATATATTTAGGACTATGCATGTACATGATACTACTTCAGGACAAAAGGTAAAATATTAAAAGGCTTAAAAAAAAACTTGGTAACAGCATCAATGGTGCTAAGTTTGAAACAGGCTAAACGGGCCTACAAGTCAAAGATGTGTCTTTAGGAGGATGAGGGCAGTATCTGGCTGCAAGGGCCTGAAAAGCAACTGAAAGACCAGAAATAGATCTACTAAGCAAAAGTGACTTTTTAAAGAAATTAAGTGAAAAAAGTAGTTTATGGGTGGTAGGAGTTTTGAGGAAAAAACTTTTTAGACTTGAAGGATAGTTAAGCACAAAGAAATATACATTTGGAAGGCTTAGAATATTTCAGGAAGATACAACTATCAGTACTTGAACTTGTACTGCATCTTGGCCTCCAATTCTTGGAGATTCTTACGCCTTTAGAGGTTATGAACCAGCTAAATTGTTGAACAAGAAGTAGTGTACTTGTATGTATGTGTTTGTTATTTGTACATCAGGGGCTTCACTTTGAGTTCTGGAGGGTTTTGGATTTGGTTTTTGAGACCAGGGTCTTACTAGCCTGGCTGGCCTTGAACTCACAGTGCTCCTGATGCCTTAACCTCCTGAGTGTTGGATTACAGGTG